TAGTTTTCAGTTAAAGAGTAAATGTTTTCACATTTAAAGAACAAAGGAGACCTTGATTTCCAAAAGAGCTTTTGAGCTAGTTTTCAGTTAAAGAGTAAATGTTTTCACATTTAAAGAACAAAGGAGACCTTGATTTCCAAAAGAGCTTTTGAGCTAGTTTTCAGTTAAAGAGTAAATGTTTTCACATTTAAAGAACAAAGGAGACCTTGATTTCCAAAAGAGCCTTTGAGCTAGTTTTCAGTTAAAGAGTAAAATGTTTTCACATTTAAAGAAGAAAGGAAACCTTGATTTCCAAAAGAGCATTTGAGATAGTTTTCAGTTAAAGAGTAAATGTTTTCACATTTGAGCAAGAAATGGAACATCGATTCCAATAGAACTTTTAAGCCAAGTTTTGAGTAATTATCTCAAACCAAAGAAAGAAGTTGTATTTTTAAACATATGAGCTGAGTATTTTGGGAGTAGTATTGAGCACCGATATGGGGATGAGTTTGAGTTCAGATTACTCACGTCTCCATAAACCATGTAGCCATCATAGGTAGTAAAGGATCATACTTTTTAGATTATTCTTTAAGTGCTTTTTAGCATAGACTAGTGGATCCACTTAGTTAAGACGTTCTATATGACGGCAAAGTATAAAACAGTTTTGACAGCGCGGGCAAGACGTTGTATCACCACTTAGGCTCATAGTGGTGGTTGTCGGTTAGAGAAACACCCACAACAGTATTATTTTGTATTTTTATATACATTTCAGAGTTATATTGTATCCTTGCATACATATCAGAGTTACTATTGTATTTTTAAATACACAAAGTTATATCCATGTTTTAAAAGCTTTTCTTTATGTTGCATTTATGTTATTGCTTTATATTGAAACGAGTTCAGTCTAGTTGAGTTGAGTTAAGCCAGGTAAGTTCTTCAGTTCTTTTCAAGCTTATGTCTTGTTTTAGAATTCCCCTTGCATACTCGTACATTCAATGTACTGATGCCATTTGGCCTGCATCTTCTAATGATGCAGACACAGGTAACCAGGATCAGCATCCAACGCATCGTTGAGCTCCAGAGTTTGTTAGTGAGTCTCCTTGCTTCCGGAGGACCCCTTTTATTGCTTTCAGTATTTTAGTTCATTAGGATGTCGTGGGTCTTGTCCCGACATCCATCTCAGTTTTAGAGGCTTCATAGATAGACAAATAAACAATCAGTTAGTCATTTGTGTTTACCTTGTTATTGGCTTATGTTCAGATTTGAGTTGCCACTTTGGCTAAGTTAAATGTTTATTTCTAAAACATTATGAGTTTAGTTTGAGACAGTTGATTTATCTTGCATTTGAGTTATTTTCTTAATGCTTAAAGTCTTCCGCTGAGTAAGTAAGCCAGAACAAGGGTTAGCTTAGGGCCATCAATGGTTCTTGAGTGCCAGTCCCGCCCAGAGTGTAGGGCTCGGGGCGTGACAAATGTACAAAAAGTTGTAATCTTAAATACTTATATTATTTTATTTGGTGTGATATACACGTACACAAAGAAAGCTAATGTGAAAATATCTAAAAAGATGTATTTATTTCCACAAACTTTAAATGACTTATTAAAAAGTAAGGCATAAAATTTAGGAGGAATTTTATGTATTATCTTTTAATCTTGTGATTTCAAATACTTCATGTGGAAAATTAAAATTAAAACAAAACTCGGAAAAACATCAGGGATGTATTCACCAACTCAAAAAACATTAGGGATATATTTACCAACTCGAAAAACTTTAGGGATATATTTGGCAATTAAAAAACTTCCTCGAAAATTGCCAGTTGTTTCCATCCGTGTCATATTCTAAACTCATCATCAATCCCTAAAGCGGTAAAACTCGTCAGCTTCCTAATCTCACCGTTAATCTTTATCTGATCCAACGGCTTAAAATCACGATCCTTGTGCTTTTTTCTCATTGGTTCATTTACAAATCCCTCAGTACTATATAAACAAACACCAACTCCGATAAATCTTCATCACTCATCGTTGCTCTCTATACAGCACAAATCGAATTCAATTTTTTTTGTGTTTTACAGAGATTTCTGATGGCTGGAAGAGGCAAAACTCTTGGTTCCGGTACCGCAAAGAAGGCTCAATCCCGGAGTAGCAAAGCCGGTCTTCAATTTCCGGTCGGTCGTATAGCTCGTTTTCTGAAAGCCGGCAAGTATGCCGAACGTGTTGGTGCCGGAGCTCCTGTATACCTTGCTGCTGTTCTCGAATACCTTGCTGCTGAGGTGAATTTTGGCTTTATCTTCGTTAAATTCTTCAGTTTTTGTTTTCTCAATTTCTAGGGTTTCTGATTTGGTAAATTAGCCTTGGTTTTATCAGAAAGTTGTTTTTCCCCCCTATGTTTTGTGTTTCTGATTTTGTATGTGAATTTTGGTCTTTTTCAGGTGCTTGAATTAGCTGGAAATGCAGCTAGGGATAACAAGAAGACTAGGATAGTTCCAAGGCATATCCAGTTGGCTGTGAGGAACGATGAAGAACTGAGCAAGTTGCTTGGTGATGTGACAATTGCTAATGGTGGTGTTATGCCCAACATCCATAACCTTTTGCTTCCTAAGAAAGCTGGCTCATCAAAGCCCTCTGCTGATGAGGATTAGGTGGAAGGATAAGAGAAGGTTTCTAGGGTTGAGGGTTAAATTTGTTTTTTTAGTAATTGGTGTTTCTGTCTCTTAGATTCCATAGAGATTAGGTGAAATCAATTATGTTTTTCTTTTGGTTTAGTCGAAGCTTTTAGGGTTTATGGTAGTCTGTATATATAAATGCAGGGATGAATGAAAGACTATGTTCTTAAATTGTTTCTCTTGGTTTATATTGTTTTTTTAATGAAATTTCAACTCAGTGAGATCTATCTTTATACAAAAACTTACAGTTTTCTTCCTTCCTTTTAAGCATGTTATGGTGTGTGTCATGATCAATTGATTTTGTTTTCTATAGTCTGTGTGCATGATGTTTATGAGCATCCAATCAGTTGGGGCATTTGCTTTGTTATCCACCCCCCTTCTCCCCAAGTTAGTCATTAGTACTGAATATTGGCAAAATGAAGAGATGTTAGAAATCATTACTTATGGACATGATTGTATATGAAGGTCAGTGAGCTTTTTCTTGTTTGCTGCTGATGTATATATTGCTGAAATGCTAAGCTTTTGTGCTTATTATGGCCTATGGTATTTAGTGGATTGTGTTTGCTTGAATGTGCCCTTGGTGTACATTAACAATTCAGCGAAGTTGGGTTGATGGTGAGAGGCAATAAGCTTTATTTGCATTAAGTTCTTGTTGTCATTATGTCTTTGGTACTTTGCTATCAACCCAATAAGCCAAATTGGGTTTGATGGTAGCATTTACTATTTATATCAAGCTTTTGCACCACCTTAATCACTAGCCCTCTCTATGAAACCATTTTTATGTTGCATTAAATTTCAGTGACCTTTATTAGAACATACTTTAATGTGTAGTAGTGCTTATTATATCATTCCTTCGGAAGGATTTGTTGCCATTGGTATTGTTTTTCCTTTTAGACAAGTGCATTCGATCATCTCTCCAGTTGGTAAGAGGGTTTTAAAGATATCTTCATATATAGTATTTAATCTCTCCTTGCAATATTAGATGGAACTTTCTAATGATTGATCAACAACATTGCCCGTGCAAAAGGGATGTTCATATGTAATGCACTACTGGAGTCGATTTGTTGCATGGTTGCTGGTAAATCTGGTAAGTAATATACTCATATCTATGCGGTTTGCTCCTAGGGAAGTGTTTGTTGTTGGTTTATCTCAATTTCACTCCCATAAGATTTATCTTTCAGTTATCTTTATTGTTTAGGCTTTTCTTGTTCTATGTTATGACTGCATCTAAGCTTGAGCTGTAACTGATACTAGTTCTTTGTCTTGTTTGAGCATGAAAATTTGTAGTATTGGTCTTGGCCATATTATTGAGCTGTAACTGATACTAGTTTTTTGTCTTGTTTGAGCACGAGAATTTGTAGTATTGGTCTTGGCCATATTATGTAGTTCAGTGGATGCCTTTGGACGGTTTATTCATTCAGACCAGTTACAAATTTGAATAACTGTTACATCACAGATTAGATGACATACTTGTTATGGTTTCATATTAAATAATACTTCTAAGGTACTTTTTGTTTCTTAATTATTCAGTACAATTGGTTGTGCTCAATCTTGTGTGGAGTTGCTGAGTTTGCTTTCTGCAGACTGCGATGTCAGTAGCAAGCTATGAGATTTTCACGTTTGACATTTAGGAGGAGTGTTGATTTGGTTTTCTTTATAGATGATTCGTCTCTGTGTTTGCTGAAGGTTGCTGTATCTTCTGTTATCAGATTGAGTTTTACATATTTTCCATTGCCTGTATGTTTCTCTTCTCTAGTACTCTCAAGGCATGAATGATTATTAGCATGTGCCAGCTCAATCACTGTTTTTTTAACATCAGTTAGCTACATAATGTTTTACTCTGTTGTTTAGAATTAGGTTTAGATAACGAGCTTTCTTTTAGCTCTTGAGAGTCGAGACCCTTTCCTCGTCCCTTGTTTTGGGGCCGGCATATAGGGTTGACCCAGTTTTGCAGGTATGAACAAGAGGAAGCTTGGCGATACGTGTTCAACTTGTCTTGTAAGGTGACTTCTTCTTTAAGTTCAAATTGATTGTTCTGTTGAATTTATGGGTCTTCCAAATGTGTTCCCATCTGTTGCTCGTATGGAAATAAATAAATTTTAGTATGTTGGTCATCATGGTAGTTTGATGATCAAGAAACAGAACTGGGGCTGAAATCATCAGAAGTTCGATATGATGATGTGAGATGTCTTTTAGATTTCAGCACTGACGTAAAGATAGAAGTTGGATTGGTTAAGAAATTTCTTTCAAGAGCTGACGCGTACTACATTTGTTGTATATCTTTGCCTGGTTACCTTCTAAGTTCCAATCTTTACTTGGTTACCTGTTACAAAAAAAGTTCTAAATTTACTTGTTGATCATTAAGTGGACTTGAAGAATCTTAGGCCTTCTATCTTTGAGACTCTTGCGTTTCAAATATGTGTACTTATGCAGCTCACTGAAGTCATCTGCTGCCGAAAGTGTTATTCCCTTTCGTGCTGTTTTCTATGATTTTCGAGTGGTATAACCTTTTCTTGTTCTTCAGGAAAGGATGCTTTCATGAGAAACTTTTCATGTGTAAGATCTTTCTTCTTCTTCATTTTAGATCCTCACTGTTTGCTGTCTCGTAACGTCTTATCTAAATTTAGGAAGCCAATGATTCTCAGTGTGTTTTAGGTTGTCTTATCATAAATTTCTGTTACTCGACATGTGAACGTCTATTTCGGTAGAATGACAGTGTTTTAAGGTATTACCAAGTCTTTGGATTGCCACTTTCAGGCGGAAATGGTAATCAAAAGAGTGTAGGAGTGTGTTGTAACTTGTTCATAAATTTATGAAGCTCATAGAACCATTTAAAAGATACTACTCTTTGTTCAATAAAAGTTGGTCGTAAGAAAAAATTTCATGGTGACAATTTTTAAGGTATGTTAAGCTAGTTTCTCAAATCTTTCTTCTTGTATTGCACAGACCGTTGTTTTATTAAGTATTTTTTAATTTTATTGCATGGCTAACCATTCCATATTTTTGTTGCTTAGATATAATTCATTTTGAGAAACCCTATCTATGCTTTCTGTACATAAGAGTCCTAGATGTTAATCTTTATTACAATGTATCAACGTGGAATTTGCATCCAAACACAATCCTACAAAGACACTTAACACCTTGGCTGGATAGTTGTGTATTGCATTGTTTTAATGAATATAACGTTTTGTATTGTACCGAATTGTGATGTTTGGATTGATTGTGTCATTTTTCGTAGGTATATATTGTCACATATCAACTATTTGAGTGATAAATCTACAAGAAAAGTACGATTAGGATAGAGCTAGTACTTGTGTTTGAATCGATGACATCATTGATGGTTGTTACATAAGCCTTTGAACTCCAAACAGGAAGGAAATAAAAAATTAATTTAAGATATAAAATATTATTTATTCTATATCTTTAAGAAAACAATCTCATTTTATTCCTTGCCTTGTATAATTGCTCACATTACAAAAAGTATGACGATGCTCACAAATTTTTTATTATTTATTGTCACAACGATCTTCATAACTCCTTTCTTGAGTTTTGAAATGCTTTCATTAATCATTATTCTATGAATTTCCAAAAGTGAATTAGAATTGTCAAAATTTAAAACTTCGAGAAGTAATTTGATTTGGCATCAAATTGAGGAAAAAATTTAATATGGTTGAGGCTCAATCAACAATAGTTATGTGAGATTCCATTCAATTTTTGACACTTGGATTTGAAGGCCTCATTTTAACACCACACACTCTCTCACCTTATTTTTCCCCAAACTCCCCCCTTTTCCCTCCAAAATATTTTAGCTCCTTGTTCAATACTCCTCTCTTTTTCACCGTTTTTTTTTAAATTCTTTTGTGTCTCTTTTATTAATTAGTAACTTGATTAGCTCTTTCTTTTCCATTAATCATTTCTGTCCCTCAACTAAATTAATTTAAAAAATTGCCACCTCTCAACCAATTCAATTAAAATAGAATTATTCCTCGTAGCCTTAGAAAAAATAATCTTTTAAATTTTTTATTTTACATCTCAAAAAATTGAATCAAATTCCTAGGATACCTTTAAAAGATAAATTTTGAATAAGAAATTCACACACATTTTATATTTGTATTAAGAAGTATTCACTGAATTATCGAAAATCGAATTAAATAAAAATTTAGTCAAATTGAATATTTTCTTTTACTTCAATTTTATTTTCTTTTTATTTTAAAAAAAATTGACATTAATTCAGTTTTGATTTCAAAGTAAAAATAAATAAAAAAATCACCAAACTGATTATAAAAATATCTCCCTCTTTAAATATATATATATATATATATAGAGTGTGTGTGTATGTTGTGTAAAATTAAATTTTTACTCTTTTTATTTGTAATCTAGTTACCTTTTTATAAATTTAATTCTATTTTTTTCACTTTCTAATTTGATTTGTAATTTTATTATGATGATTTTAAAAATTGATTTTATGTTCAAAATCACTTGTTTTTAGTCCTTTAATTATTCATTATTAATTCAACTGACATCAATCAGAACTAATTTTTTTAAAAAAAATTATATCGAAAAAATCACTCGTTCTTCAATATTTTTTAGAAATATTTTGTACTTAGTGTTGCACTTATTATTGAAATTTAAGTTAAAAGTCTAAAAAAAAATCAACCAAAAAAATATATAAATCAAGAAAAGAAGACTATAATTATAATGGAGTTCAATTTTTTAATCATATTAGCAATCACGGGAAAAAAGGCTAAAACTTGAATTGATATTAATTTACATATTTCTATTTGACTTTTGAAAAATAAAAATTTAAGACTATTAAAAAAAAAGAGGTAAAATACTTATTATGAGGAAAAGGGAGAAATTTGAAAAAATGAAGGTGAGAGAGTGTGCGGTGTTAAAATGGGGACCACAAATTCAAGTGTCAAAAATTGAATGGAACCTCACACAACTATTGTTGATTGGACCTCAACCATATTAAAAAATTTCCAAATTGAGAGGTTGAGTTGGTGAAAAGTCATGATAGAAGTACAATGCAAATGACAAGAAGTGTGGCAAGTTGAATATGCTCATTTGTTAATGTTTGAGTTATAAACTTAAACACACTTCAAATTCAAATATGATTTATGTAATCTTAAAAATATCGATGTTGTCTTTTGGGCAATACATCATCATAAAATAT